CATAGATTCACGCCATTGGGACACGATGACATGCATCAACCGAGTCAGCGAGTCTGACCACCCGATCCTGTTAGTCGCCACTGACGACAAGCGTAGTCGCCTTTTACAGCAAGCATGGGTTGCTGAAGACCTATTCTACCCCGGATCTTCACGGGTCCTATGATTTAAAGGGCGGTCTGTTTGGACAGATACAGGTAAAACCCAATTCCCTCACCCACTTTTCGATCTACAACCAAGGACAAGTTACCTAAGCAAGTTACCTAAGGTGAGTTCCGATTGACTTCTCAGCGGTGCACATGAGCGGGCTTCAGGGAAAATAATTGCTCGCTCCTTAACCAATCAGCTAATATTTTAATGAAAGGTGAGATAAGTATTCATCGACCTAGGGACAAGACCTCCAAGTTCAAATAATGGAATCATACAGCGCCTCGTGAACTGCCCTGTGCAGCGTGAACACTTGAAGGGAGATAACTCTAGTGGCTATTATCAGTGAACTCTAGTGGCTATTATCAGTGGAGACCAATTCACAGAAAATAACTCATGGCCTCCCCACAAACGCGTTGTTGAAGGATTTCCACTTACTGACTGTCTTTTAACTCGAGGCCCCATGTGAATTTTCATGTGTTCTGCATTAACACCTATTTAGTGAATATTTGAAGAAATACAATTTTTATCTTTATTTGCTGTTAATTAAATTAGTACATACCGTGGGGTAATGGAGAGACTGGTCATTTGTCTGTCATCTTCAACACCAATATACTCCGTTGTCAGAATGATGAGATCTGATTGGTCCACGAGATCTTGATAAAATACTGTGTAACCCGCCTTGGGAATACATTTCTTTGCGGGGGAATCAATCTTTTATACCCCACCACGAGCACTACAGTCTGATGGTGCATTTTTTATAGACAGAATAAATCCTTTATACCCCGCTTCAAAGCAAAACGCCGCTAGCTTTTTCCGAGCCAGTGGATGACAAGTGAAGCTGACCTCAGTTTAATCGAATAGTTGTTTTCTATCAATTTGGAATTAATTTGAATTATTTTACAATGTTATATTAAATCATTTCGGTAAGTTAAATTCGTTGCAGCAGGATTACGGCGTCCCCCCTCGCCTCCAGCTCGTGTTATAAAACCTAACGCGGGACGCATAAAACCACATCAACACCGATTTAGTGACTATTTGAAGAAATACAATGTGTATCTTTTGGGGGTATTAATTAAATCACTCCATACCATGACCATGGGCCAATGGGGAGATTGGTCATTTGGTTGTGCATCTGCAACACCAGTATACTCATTCTATGTATTTCTGTTCTTTTCCAAATCGACCGTGATTCATTGAACATACAATCTTCACATCTTGACTATTGTAATGCTTTGCTTCTTGGCCTACCATAACATCTCCAAAGCTCCAAAGCTCCAAAGCTCCAGCGCATCCAGAACTGCCCTGCACGGCTAGTCACTAAGATCAAAAGACGAGATCACGTGACACCAATATTAAAGGACCTTCACTGGCTAAAGGTGGTGGACCGTATCAAGTACAAGGTCTTCACATTGATCTTCAAATCAAGACACGGTGCTGCACCAGCATATATCAAGAACATGATTTGTGAGTATGAACCTAGACGCAATCTGCGTTCAGGTGATCACAAATTACTGTGCATATCCACGTCACGAACAAGCAGATTTGGTGATCGCTGCTTTGCACGAGCAGCTCCAATGTTATGGAACAGCCTACCACTTGACATCAGAAGTTCCCAAGAACTGGGCAGCTTCCAGCGCAGACTGAAGGCCTACCTCTTAAGGAACACACTTACTTGCAGTAGAACTCCATCAGTGTTAGAGTTTCCTGCAAGCGCTTTCGAGCAGTTTTCTCAACTGGATAGCAGCGCTAAGGAAATGCTCAGTTATTTTAAATGTGAATTGATAAAACCTAACTGACGAAAGCAACTATTGTCGAGACTTTAGAGCTGCTTCGGTCAATATCAATTTTGATAAATGATGTTCAACGATCCCCTAAATCAAACTCATTCACGCTAATGATAAATACAGTGGATCAATTCGTTGCCAAACCTTTTCGAATCTGATTCGACTGGCACAACGCTAAATTGTGCTGTCACTGTTCCTTCTAAACTGAAGACCAGTGAAGATCCGGGGTAGAATAGGTCTTCAGCAACCCATGCTTGCCGTAAATGGCGACTATGCTTGTCATACGAGGCGACTACCGGGATCGAGTGGTCAGGCTCGCTGACTTGGTTGATGCATGTCATCGTTTCCCAATTGCGTGGATCGATGCTCATGATGTCAATCAATGGATTGTCTGGTCCAGACTCGATTACTTACAGACCGACATCAAACAGCTGAAATATTGCTGAGTGCAGCATCAAACAACAAACAAAGAAACAAATATGTTTTCGACATCATTGGCCCATGAGCAAGCCTTCCATCGCTGCTTTTACTTAAAAGTCCTTGCCACGTGAAACGGAATAACGAATTATCGGGATGTATAATTAACGAAGCTAACTGCATATGTGATATTATTATTCCTCAAAGTGAGATTGACCAGTCAGAGAGCAGAACTACTGATCCCACATGAGCCCATATACCGTCCGTTAAAATCCAAGATGGTTGATACTGACCTAATATGAGACTGTATACCGTCAGTAACAGCCATTTTGGATTTTCCAACACCCACCTCACATATTTCACATGAAAATTCGGGTACAGAAACTCGTAATTCGACACTGTTTTGTGTTTTAATATCATTAATGTTGATGTGCAAGGACGTTAATGTTTTTTTTCGGATCACGTTCGTGACTTTAATAAAGATGATATAAAGTTAAAATTATCAACAAAGTCTGGCCTCTGAGGTTTGAAGAGTAGTCTCCCTTTGACCCTTAACGTCCTAGGTTCTAAGTATTAAGTTTTGAGTTTCAATACTTATAAAGTGAAAACAAACCATTCCGCCTATAAGTACTATTACTTGCAGTAAACATTGGAAAGTGCGCTTTTCAAGAAATGTCCATTTTCGAAGCGATAAACATCACCATTGAGTTTTGATCACGTGGTTATAATCCGTGTAAGAATCAACAGTCAGATGACTGCGAACGGCTATATTTACAAGTGACCTTGGTCATTAGCGCTCTAAATATTACATCCATTTCAAGTATCGAGGGCAAAATGTGCATGCTCAGCACTTTTAGTGCTTTTAGCCAACAGGCAGAGGCCCCCAAATATGGCACAATTGCAGATCTGTATGATATCCGGTTATATGTGCGCATGCGTAATGTCCTCATGAACTGTGCCGATCTAGAGTAATTATTTAACGCTAATTTTTTATAAGATCTTAAAAGTAAACGTTGTGCTCTGCTCTGCTGTTTATTTTGGCAAGAGCACTTTACGTCACAAACAAATTTCACCTAGTCCTCTATTTCCTTTCATTCGATACCGACGACCAATGAAAGCTGTGTTTAGTGTCGTCCAATTGCACGTGGAGGCTACAAACAGGTGAGCTTTGTCCCACAACGACACGAAAAAGCTCATTTCTTGGCGTTTGGAATAGAGTTGATATTAATGTAAATGCACACATCGGAACATCGCCATAGGACGTATGCAAAATGTCTTCTGTTGCACGACTCTTCAACGTCTTCCACAACACCACTTGCCGCCTTTCTTGCCGGCCACTGCAGACCGTCCGAAAACCGGCCGACCAAGGGTTACCCCTGCACAGGATCGCGATATTCGACTGTTCCACCTACGTCATCGCAATGCCACAGCTCCGGAGACTGCAGGACGCATCCCTGGTTTGAGGAGGATATCGGACCAGACTGTCAGGAACCATCTTCGCGAGGCTGGAATCCGACCCAGAAGACCAGTTATCGATATCGTCCCTTTTTTTAAACAGATCCATCGACAGAGACGCTTGCGTTGGTGCCATACCTTACAGCCTTACATACCAGAATCTGAGAAACTGGAGACGAGTGTGGTTAAGCAATGAATTACGATTTCTTCTTCACCGGCAAGATGGGAGACAACGTGAGAGTTTAGCCCCACATTGCAATTGTGTACGTGAATTCGACAATTTCAGTTTTCAGTGGCGGTAGTGTGTGTGTTTGTGTGTGTGTGTGTGTGTGTGTGTGTGTGTGTGTGTGTGTGTGTGTGTGGTTGGAGGGCATATCCTACACCTCGAGATCTGACTTGGTTGTGGTTCAGGAAAATGTGACAGCAAATCGCTGTACTGTACTACACACTAAGGTGATCGCCATATGTTGTATGGGGGCAATACACTTCAGCTTCTTCACTGTGTCTGTGTTAAAACTGTCCTCAATTATTTGGTGCAGTATATCTCCATTCTAACTGGTCAAAATACCCTGAAATCATTCGCAACCACTCCATGGGGACTGAAGATTAGACTAGGACCCCGTCTTACAAGGTACGTTTATCCCTAAGGTGATCGTAATTGCCATGTTTAGCATAGGCTTGCGATAGTTGTAGCGCTGAGGTTGCTTTGTTGAACAGAGCACTGGTCGTCAGTTGCCTATACTGATCCTGTACTGGATTGTCTGGCCCCGTCTCGATTATGTTACAGGGTGCCATGAGAAAACGTAGTCATAAACATAGAACATAGTTTGTTTGTTTATTTGTTGATTAACGCCGCAGTCTGGCAATGCAAGGATTTATGGGTAGGTGAAGTGAGGTGAAATTGGGTTTTATGTCGCGTACAATATTATTGCACTTATATAGTGACGTGCATGAAACGTGTGTGTGTGTGTGTGTGTGTGTGTGTGTGTGTGTGTGTGTCTGCTTGTACTCGTCCGGATTTATGCCGATTTATAGTGCTAGCTCACTAAGATACCATGCCTCAGTTTTACATGAATACCCCACTCAGACACAGTATACTGACTCTGAGCCGACCAGTTTCAGCCCCTTAATGCCGAGCCCAAGAAAGGGTAACAACAAATACTAAATCTCTAACGTCTTTTGGTATGTTGCGGCCGGGTATTAAACCCCGGACCTTCCGCTCTCCAGGCGGACGCTCTGCCACTTGACCATGGAAGTTGTCTGATTTATGGGTAGACATGTCAGTGATGTTAACCATAGCAAAGACCTCGTTTGGGGTTAACCCGCTCCTTGAATCAGCACATGTTAAAGCCTATTAAGAAATCTATACTTATCACAAAGCATTATAAAGTATTATCACGCGTTAGCTTTATGAAACATAATCAGGGTGAATCTGGAATTCTTCCACGATCAAAGGTTAATTGTTAGCCTAATGGAAGCAACTCTGCATGGCGAATTGCAACACCTTTGACGTCTTGGTCACCCGTACTATCATAATACTATAACAAACATTGTACTGTGCATTGTATTCTGTATGTACGCGAACTTAAAGATACAGACTGTCTGATCAGAGAGTTCCGACAACAAGAGCAACACTTGACATCCGCCCTTCCCGATTGGGCAAAGTGGTACTTGGCCACGTTCTGGTTCTGCTTCAGGAACGAGACTGGAACTAGATATTGCATCGTCATACATATTGTCTCGTATTTACCGTTGTTTTGCCGATGTAGGAAATAAAATGAGTTGAGGGAATTGCCGTTAAGCTGCACCGATGTTGGTTTTGGATTGCCGGTCTTGTCACCGAGGCTAATGCAGACTCGCAGATACGCGTACTGGATATTGCTCATATGGCCAAGATTGATGCTGGTGGTGACAACGTTGTTCTGTATTGGTTTAGCAACATCTTGTCCGTAGTGGACAGTTTCCGTGATCGTCTTGCTGTGAGCAAAGTTGAAGGCAGTTTGGAATTTAAGATAGCAGCTTGCCTCAGTCGGCAGGCTGACGACTCTGTTGTTGAGGTGGACGTTTGATTCCTTGTCCCGTATTGTAACCTTGTGGGAGTTCAAGTGGACACAGGACATCACTGCCGTAGACGGATTCATCCATCCGTGATCAAACTTGACCTTGACCTGGGTCGGGTGCGTGTCAAAGTTATGCAGAAGAAGTACAACCCTCTTTGAAGTTGGATCCACTAAAGCATGCGATGCCACGAGTCTCTCAGCTCCATGGAATTGACTGTCTGTTCGCAGATACGTCATGCGATTTGAAAGCACCTGCCAGAAGTGATACGCCTCGGCTGTTTTTCTCTCGTGGTTGTTGGTGTCCAAGAGACTGTAATCAATGCTGGCTTGCCCAAAACTTTCTCTTTGTCCAAGCAAGAACGCCACAGCTCTGTCGACCACTCCACGATGATTCAGCATGGTAAACATTTCTGCATCAGTGGGTTAGGCTTCTGCATATTCACACCTATGATAGACCCCAAACCAAAGGCTGAACAGATGATGGGAATATCTTTACCTGTTTTCGAATGGGCATAACTTTCAATTAGATCTATTATCCCAACAAAGCGGGCTTCATTCGAACCTGAGAAGTAGTAGGATTCTCCTGTGATGTGCATATGGCTGAAAGGGTGAAAGGAAATGAAGTCAAGGTGTTTGACCGCCATGTCCAAAAACTCCTTGATATTTTCCCAAACCTTAAAGTCGTGTTTGTCCAGCTGACCAATGGCACCGGAATATGCCGGACCTCCAACTTTAACGTGTGGTAGAGTAGCCTTGACCTTTGCATTGGCGGCTTTGTGGTAGTCAGTAATCTGTGTCCAGTTAACGTTGTATTTCCACATACCGTCGACTTCGCTGATTGGTTCAAAGTATGGCGGTGTGTCAACCTTGGTTCCATCATGGACGGCCTTTAGCAACATGGCAGCCATATCAGCAGCGGCATCCACGTTGTTAGGGAAGTGGCCTTTGTGTTGAGATGTGTCCATCCAGTGTGGCCAGGCATCGGCTAGGGGAGATACATAAATAAAATTTAATGCATTTAACTATGGTGTTCATTAAGTATCTAAAAGTATCCCAACAGATTTAATATTGCTAACATTTCTTGAGGCCTTTTTTCTGTCTTTATTTCCTGTTACATTATACTATTGGCTGTGTTATATCTCGAGTTCGGGCCACTGGTTGTGGTTCAATGAGAATCTCTCCTGCATGAACGTCAATGTCATATCTTGACCACTTGAAAATGATTCCTTGGCTTGTTATAGACTAACGTTTAGTGCCGGATTTAGTCTTGTTAAGAAGATTATATGTACAAAATGCATGGTAAAAGGCGGTTGAGACTTGCTAAATCATTCTAGAATGAGTTTGATTAATCGTTCTATGGGACACAGACAAGCATAGTTTGTCTCCCAGACCTTTTAATTTCTGTCAAACATTAGTAACTACTTCGAAAACACAAGCTGAATGTTCACAAGCGAACCATCAGCTACACTGTCTTAAGATGAGTATTCTTATGTTCTCTCAAACAAATTATGCATGACGATATAATAGATATTATCATTTTCATTTTTGGTCTTTCTATTTCATGGGAATGATGTGTAAAAGCAAATGCAGCTTTTGCATCGTTAAAAGCTGTATGGAAATTAAAATTTTTCAGAATGTCATCAAGGTTAAAACTGATCTGACCTCTAAGATCCATCATGATTTCTCTCCCCGGGGTTCGTCCGTATCCATCTCTGTTGGCAGAATATATAGAAACTATGTTCTGCTGGAAGCTTGCATTCCGGAAGTAAGCTGGATCAGCATAACCCTTCCGGTGAGGATCTTGTGGTGCCTTCACACAGTGTCATGATCATGACATTGTTGTAACTCATAGGGATGCTAACGTGAGTGTGTTGTACGTCGGGGTGTGCTGACGTGTGTGTTGTACGTCGAGGTGTACCAATGTGAATGTGTCGTTCATCGATGTGTACTTCGGTGAGTGTGTTGTTCACCGAGGTATGCTACATTGTGTTGTTCCTCGAGGTCTGCTGACGTCTGTGCTATACGTTGAGGTGTGCTGACGTCAGTGCGTTGCACATTGAGGTGTGCTGACGCGTGTGTGTGCTGTACATCGGGGGGCTGACGTGTGTGTGTGTTGTAATATGAGGAGTGCTGACGTGTGTGTGTGTGTGTGTGTTTGTGTTGTACATCGAAGTGTGCTGACGTGTGCGTGTGTTGTACATTGAGGTGTGCTGACGTGTGTGTGTGTGTGTGTGCTTGTGTTGTACATCGAGGTGTGCTGACGTGAGTGTTAAACATCGAGGTGTGCTAACGTGTGTGTGTGTGTGTGTGTGTTCTACATCGAGGCGTGCTGACGTGTGTGTGTGTTGTACATCGATGTCTGCTGACGTGAGTGTTGAACATCGAGGCGTGCTGACATGTGTGTGTGTGTGTGTGTGTGTGTGTGTGTGTGTGTTGTACATCGAGGCGTGCTGACAGGTGTGTGTGCTTTACATCGGGGGGGGGGGGGGGGGGGGGGGGGGGCTGACGTGTGTGTGTCTTGAACATTGAGGTGTGCTGACATGTGTGTGTGTTTGTGTGTGTGTGTGTGTTGTACATCGAGGTGTGCTGACGTGTGTGTGTGTTGTACATCGAGGTGTGCTGACGTGTGTGTTGAACATCGAGGCGTGCTGACGTGTGTGAGTGTTGAACATCGAGGTGTGCTGACATGTGTGTGTGTGTGTGTGTTGTACATCGAGGCGTGCTGACGTGTGTGAGTGTTGAACATCGAGGTGTGCTGACGTGTGTGTGTGTGTGTGTGTGTGTGTGTGTTTCTGTTGTACATCGTAATGTGCTGACGTGTGCGTGTGTTGTACATTGAGGTGTGCTGACGTCAGTGCGTTGTACATTGAGGTGTGCTGACGTGTGTGTGTTGTACATCGAGGTGTACCAGCATGAGGAGTGTTACGTGTGTTGTACGGTGTCCTGACACTGATTGTGTTGGTCATCGATGTGTATCACCGCCAGTATGCTGTACATGAGTATTACCAACGTCAGTGTGTTGTACATCGAGGTGTGTTAGCATGTGCTGTACATCAATTTGTGCTGGAGTGTGTTGCATATCAAGGTGTTTTGACGTGTGTTGTACATCGATGTCTACTAACGTTAGTATGTTGTACGTTGATGTTTGTTGTCGAGGATGTGTTGTATGTAGGGGCAAAATAAAATATGTACATTTTTTTTATTATATGGGGCTGTAAAGGCATTCTTTTTTTTTTTTAATCTTTTTCAAATCCATTGCTAGGATTCGATAAGAGTTGCAGTGATATATGAACAATATCTGTCCATGATCCTAGCACACAAATAACGATTTGTAAAAATAAACTCGATCACAAAATTCAACGTTTGTATCAACACCTCGATCTTCATCCTCGTGTTTATTCAGGTTATAAAAGCTTGTACGTCCCAGTACTTACTCGGGTAAATATATAACATCAACACTAACGAATAACCGGTCTCGATTTTCCCACAAAACATGTTCCATTGGGGGAAAAAGGCAAAATTGCGGTGAAGATTAAATGAATGGATCACTACAAATCAATGATAACAACGGGTGTTCGCGAAAAGGGTAAGCATGTCTTGCCCTACCAGCAGCAGAACACTTAATATGACCACACCATCTACCTTCTCAAAGGCTCCAATATCTCCTTTGTTCCAGCGTGCAGCCCTGGCACCAGTTTTCTTCACGTACTGGATGATACTGGGCTTATCAAACCCCATCTTGCCGTTCCAGCGATCAGGATCAAACGTCTTCCGTCCTCCTTTGAGGACGAAATCCTGAAAGATTGTCACTTGATACTGACCAGTGACTAGGCACAACATATAAACTATGATTGCCACACAGAGTGACATCTTGGCTGTTGAGAACGACATTGTTTGCCGGAATGTAGGATAGACGGCAGTTGTCCTGTATATCAGGTGAGGAACGCAGGCGGGTCAAGGTTTATCTGATATAAAGTTGGCTGGTTGTGTAGGTCAAGATGACATTTGTACATGAGAAAGAGACATTTGTTTATGAGACTGTAATGATTCATGTTGTTTTTGCAATGAAAAAGTATGCAACTATCTAACCCTGATTGTAATTTTGTTTGTCAACACTATGCCATGTGTGTGTGTGTGTTTGTTTGTATGTGTGTAGTTGTGTTTATGTATGTGTGTATGTTTGAGTGTGGGTATGTGTGTATATGTGTGTATTTATGTGTTTGTGTGTGTGTCTTTGTGTGTTTGTGCATGTGTGTGTTTGTGTGTGTATGTGAGTGTGTGTATGTGTTTATGTCTGCATGCATGTATATGTGTGAGTTCGTATGTGTGTGTTTGTTTGAATGTATATGCGTGTGTTTGCGTGTGTTTGTATGTGTGTGTTTATGTATGTGTGTGTGCGTGCGTGTGTTTGTGTGTGTATGTATGTTTATATGTGTATGCGTGTAATTGTGTGTGTTTGTATGTGTTTATGTGTGTGCGTGTCGTGTGTTTGTGTGTGTATGTATGTTTATATGTGTATGCGTGTAATTGTGTGTGTGTTTGTATGTGTTTATGTGTACATATGTGTGAGTTTATGTGTTTGCATGTGTGCCTTTGTGTGTGTGTTTGTGTGTGTATCTGTTTATGTGTGTGTGTGTTTGTGTCTGTTTGTATGTGTGTGAATATGTGTGTGTTTGCCTGTGTCTGTGTGTGTATGTGTATGTGTTTTTGTGTGTGTTTGTTTGTGTATGTGTATGTTTGAGTGTGTATGTCATAGATTGTTCAGTGAGAGGAGGCGGCGACCATTTTCATGTGACCTCACAACTGTGAACTTACGCCGAGGGTAAACTTGAAGGTACAACTGTGGTGGGCATTCTTGTAATTTCGACATAAACACAAGTAAATAGGCCGAGAGTAAACAAGTAAATACGCCGAAAGTGCATAACACTTGCATTGAATTTTTCAAAAGCATAGCCCCTTGCAAGAAATACTATGTATCTGCACTGAAATGTCACCACTTTCTTTAGAAGTAGCTGACGAGGTTCCAGTTTGCTGTTTTTTAAAGGGTAGTGGTTTGATAACGAAATCGAGGTCACCAGCTGTCCCTACTGATAATGAATGAGATGTTTTCTTCAAATTGTTCTTCCAATTTATATGGAAAAACATATTTTGAGTTTGCCACAAGAAACTAATTTGGGGTGAACAAAACTTGTGACAAAATTCTAGGTGATTTCTTTGGCCTAATTTGCGGCATGACGTGGCTGAAATTTGCAAACCCTTCCACATATGTCCAATGATTGGCAGATCTAATCAGGATATCTCAGCAGCAACCTTGAAACACATGCCGGTAGGGCCATCATTGATTGCGTGGTCATTTTCTTAAAACTAGGTCAGGTAATCAGTCCATGCTTACTTTCATGTGTGCTTTCAAAGAGCTATCACTTTATGGAAACTTATGGCTCAGGTGATTATCTAGATAAAGTTCTTCACTATGGTTGGTTTTGCAACAAGCTATGCAACAGTTAGGCATAACTCAGTTTAAGTCTAGTGCCTCTCATCCCGAATCTCAGGGAGCCAAAGAGAAGTTCATATGATGAGGATTTACTGTTTTGAGACTGAGAAGGATTGGGGTGAAGGCATTTATTTGTTGTTGTTTGCTGTTTTGGAGTCAGTGTAGGTGTCCTTAGCTTGTCTTTGGCCACACTGTTCATGGACCTTTCAATCACTTGAAGGAGCATTGGGTCAATGATAGCTCTGAAAGGACTTTGTTGGAGTATGTGTATCATTCCAGGCATGGCTTTTTATCAAGCTTGTGAGTTGCTAGGAATCATATAAAATAATCTCAGGACAAAATGAAAGTACACTATGACAAAAAAGTCATATCTAATCAGAACAGGAGAGAAGTCACAAGAGAGGAATTTCAGTGATAAAATGTTGGTGTTTGTGCCTGGTCTACCATTACGTGCTAGGTACAAGGGTCCATGTGTCCAACTTGACTTTTGTTTGTTTATTTGTTTGTTGTTTAATACCGCACTCAGCAATATTCGAGCTATATGACGGTGGTCTGTAAATAATCGAGTCTGCACCAGACAATCCAGTGACTGACATCATGAGCAGCGATCCATGCAATTGGGTTGGTTGGTTGGTTGGTTTGTTGTTTAACGCCGCACTCAGCAATATTCCAGCTATATGACGGCGGTCTGTAAATAATCGAGTCTGGACCAGACACTCCAGTGATTGACATCATGAGCATCGATCCACGCAATTGGGACATGCATCAACGAGCCTAACCACCCGATCCCGTTAGTCGCCTCTTACGACAAGCATGGGTTACTGAAGACCTATTCTACCCAGGATCTTCACTGGTCCACTGCCTCGTGGACATTGTATCAGACTGTGATACTGATGAGAATTGTGGCTTTGTCAAGTTTGATGGCATTCTGGTGAGGATCTTCTGGTGCCTTGACGCAGTGGCATGATCATGACAGAGTTGTAAATCTTAGGGATGCTGACGTGCGTGTGTTTTACATTCAGGCGGGTTAACGAGAGTGTGTTGTACATCGAGTTGTGCTGACCAAATTATGTTTTATACTGAAGTATGTAAACGTCAGTGTTTATACTATGAATTGTGCTTACATGAGTGTGTTGTACATCGAGGAGTTTTAACACGGATGTGTTGTTTGTTGAGGCAAAATAGCACCTGTCAATTATAAGGTGTTCATAAAGGCATACATCCAGCAGGTTTTGTTACAGATTCATTTCTAGGATTCGATAAGCGTCATACAATCTGTCCATGGTTCTTGCCATGCAGTTGCCATCTTGTTGACGACTAGCAGAAAAATACCTTTATAAATATTAACTAATCGCATGTATAAACTAAGGCGTTCAAGGGATATTACGAGTTTAGCATGTGTGTCATCCCCTCGACCTTCATACTCATGTTCATTCAGCTTATGAAACCTTGAACGTCCAAGTGATGGCTTGGGTAATTATAGAAAGCCAAGGCAAGAGAATAACTAGTCACGACTTTCCTACAAAACAAATTCCATTGGGAGCAAACGGCAAAATGCAGTGAAGATGAACAGATCACTGGAAATGAGTGATACCACCACGACTTGTTCTGCATGTCCAGCCCCATCTTGCTGTTCCAGCAATCATAATCAAACATCTTCCGTCCTCCTTTCAAGAGGATTTCCGGAAAAAGTGTCACTTGTAATTAAACCAGTGACCAGACATATCATATAATCTATGATTGTGATCCATAATGACATGTTGCTTGTTGGGAGCGATATTATTTGCCGGAATGTGGGATGGACGGCAGTTGTAATATCAGGTCAAGGTTTATCTGACTTAAAGTTTGTTTTTGTAGGTCGACATGACGTGACATACATTTGTAGACAAAACTATCTATGTCTTATCATTGTGAAAGCATTCAAAT